CACAATGGATTTTAATAATGAATTTATGGAACACAGTCAGCCAATGACAAGAAAAGGTTATAACTTATAACTAAAAATACTTTTTGCATTTCACTCATTTGCATTTCACTGTGTGATGGATCATCAATTGTGATGGACCTAACCACGATTGACATTCTAGTTTATAACATACACTCACCAGCCAATAAATTCAACACTGTGCTGGAAACATTTCTCAGAGATTTTGATCTCTTTCTCTATTTTTCTATCTATTAGATTGAGATCTGGAGATTACCTAGATCACTCGAGTGCAGTGAACTAGTCACGTTCAAGAAACCAGACTGACTTATCCTGCTGGCAGCAGCCATAAGAAGATGAGTAATGTGATCATAAAGGGATGGACATGATGGACAATACTCATACCACTACACCACCAGCAACTGCTGACACAAGCCAGCATGGATCCATGTTGTTTATGCCGAGTTCTGACCCTGCCATCTGAATGTTGTAACAGAGCAGGCAGGAGTTTCTACTCTTCTACTGACCAGTTTTGGTGAGCTGTCTGAATTGTAGCTTCAGTCTCCTGTTCTTACCCGACAGGAGTGGCACCCGTTGTGGTCTTCTGCTGCTTTAGTTCATCTGCTTTAAGGTTTGACATGTTATACATTCAGAGATGCTCTTCTGCATACCTTAGTTGAAATGTACAGGGTGGGCCATTTATATGGATACACCGTAATAACATGGGAATGGTTGGTGATATTAAAGTCCTGTTTGTGGCACATTAGTATATGTGAGGGGGCAAACTCCTCAAGATGGGTGGTGACCATGGTGGCCATTTAGAAGTCGGCCATCTTGGATACAACTTTTGTTTTTTCAATAGGAAGAGGGCCATGTGACACATCAAACTTATTGATGTCACAAGAAAAACAATGGTGTGCTTGGTTTCAACGTAACTTTATTCTTTCATGAGTTATTTACAAGTTTCTCTCTGTTCACAGCCATTGACATGTCGAAGAGGTTAACGCGTGAGGAGCGGATCGAAATTGTGTTGATATCTGGTGAACGCAGTAACCGGGTCATTGCAGCAGATTTCAATGCAAGACACCCTACGAGACCACCCATCTCCCATGCTACAGTTAGCAAACTGCTTGCTAAGTTTCATGAAACTGGTTCAGTGTTGGATTTGCCAAAATGTGGACGCAAGAAAACTGTCACTAATGAAGAAACATCAGTGGCTGTCCTAGCTTCATTCAGCAAGAGCCCACAGCGTAGCACTCGCTGCATGTCACTGGAGAGTGGCATTAGTCGAACATCCCTTCGGTGGATATTAGCTGCTCACAAATGGCACCCTTATAAACTCCAGCTACTGCAGCATCTCAACGAGGATGACCCAGATCGGCGCACAGAATTTGCAGAATGGGCAAAACAAAAATTGGAGCAGGACCCTCAGTTCATGCAGAAGATTTTGTTCAGTGATGAGGCAAACTTTTATGTGAATGGTGAAGTTAACAAACAAAACCACCGCTATTGGTCTGGCACTAACCCACATTGGATGGATCCCTCCAAGACTGTTGGCACAACAAAAGTGATGGGTTGGTGTGGTATATGGGGTACAACGATAGTGGGTCCATTCTTCATCAATCACTGGATATTTGAAATTGCTACATGATGATGTGTTTCCCTTTTCATGCACTGAAGCTGGCACGTTCCCTGAGTTTTTCCAGCAAGATGGTGCACCACCACATTATGGGTGCCAGGTCCGAGCATTCCTAGATGAACAGTTTCCTGGAAAGTGGATTGGTCGTCGTGGGCCAGTTGAATGGCCCCCAAGGTCTCCCGATCTGAGGCCCTTAGACTTTTATCTTTGGGGTCATCTGAAGGCAATTGTCTATGGTGTGAAGATACGAGATGTGCAGCACCTGAAACTACGGATACTGGATGCCTGTGCTGGCATTTCTCCTGCGGTGTTGCTATCAGTGTGTGAAGAGTGGGACAAGAGGGTTGCATTGACAATCCAACACAATGGGCAGCATATTGAACACATTTATAAGTGGTCAGAAACTTGTAAATAACTCATGAAAGAATAAAGTTGCATTGAAACCAAGCACACCATTGTTTTTCTTGTGACATTACCAATAAGTTTGATGTGTCACATGGCCCTCTTCCTATTGAAAAAACAAAAGTTATATCCAAGATGGCCGACTTCTAAATGGCCACCATGGTCACCACCCATCTTGAGGAGTTTGCCCCCTCACATATACTAATGTGCCACAAACAGGACTTTAATATCACCAACCATTCCCATGTTATTACGGTGTATCCATATAAATGGCCCACCCTGTACAATTACTCCTGTTGTCCTCCTGTCTCCTTCTACACATCTAAATGAATGTGGAACCATTTCAAATCTAGGTAATTGCCTTTGGCAGCCAGTAGCTTTTAATAAGAGTAATTATTTAATATTGAGCATGGCTGTGGCCTCAAAGGAATGAATGCTGTTGTACGATGACTGAGTAAGGCAGTAATTTTTCATGCCTCCAACCTACAATTTCTTATATCAGCCTTTAATAATAAAAAAATGATTCAGATTAAGTTTTAGTGAAACACAGTTTAGCACTATAGCCTCAGCAAATTCTTGTTTACATAAATCATATTTATTAGAATTATATTTTTCCCATGGTCATCCATGCCTCCCTAATACATTGGCTCTACACCCCCTGTAGGGGAGCAGCCCCACAGTTTCAGATCCACTGGATTAAAGTAAGTAAAAGTATTTGAAAATTGCTGTTTTCATCCCATTTAGAAGCATTAGGGTCTGTTGCTGTTCCATCCAGAGCAATTTAGAGATCAAAGTATCCTGTATTATTTGACACAGTGTGCAATATTTAAGGTCTCACTCTGTGTTTATTCAAGTAATACTTGATGAGCAGAAGCGTTTCTTCTCTGAGCCTCTGTGAATTTTCAGCCTCACCCACTCCCCTGACCTGTGGGGTCGCTGAAGGGTCAAATATTGATCTTTTTCTTTATATATAAATATGTTCAGTTTAGTATGGCGTATGAACACACCATCCCTTTTTTCTATTATACAGTTGATAATTAGTTTTACCAACTATTGAAGTTCAACTTTATAAACTCCCAGCAGTCTCTCTTACATTATCTGGAAGTCCTAACATGTCAGCTAAGCTTCACAGACCTCAGCAGAAACAAAACCAATATTACATTATTTGATCATCCAGGCAGATCCTTGAGCCTTAAATGTTCATGCTGAGCTCCTGTTGTCCTCAGGCCATGCTCTGCCAAATTACAAACATTTGAAAAAATATGATTATGTCAAAACATAGACAGTTTTGTTGGAATCCTACATGCTTAATGTGAGACCAGGTCCACCATACAGTAAATGCATTCAGGAATCATAGAGGACTTAAGCAGAAAGATTAACTGCAGAAAGAGAGCACACATATAAGATCCACTCTGATAACCAAGTGCAGAGGAAAAAGCAGCGATCCTTGAATATTTCACATTCTTCTCTACTGTTCACTCTCTGAACAGAAGACATAAATTAGTGGAAAGAAGGCATATGAGCTGAGCAGGGTGTGTCTCCTAAAGGTTGGAAAGATGATCTCTGTAGGGCCTTGGTGTCACCAGACAGATGCAGAGTCATTAAATTTTTACACCTATATTCTAACCTTCAGTCACCGTCAGTGAGAGACGCTTGTAAATGACACTCTGTAGCTGCTGACAGCCAGTCTGTAGGTTTCTGATGTGTTTGCTTTGAAAATATTCAGTGAGGCAGATCTGACTTGATGAGACTCAAAAAAAATTCCCTCAAGTGGAATGACCCTACAAGCCTCAGTAGAGGTCGTTTATGTTTAAGCTACATGCGTGTATTGCGACATAGGTGTTAAAAATAAAGCCACAATGTTTGTCTGTGTCAGGACGATTTAGACGTACCCTCCTGGCTCATGTTAATAACTGCTGTTTTCTTTTACTGCTTTTAAAGGTCACTCAGGCCCATTCACCTCTTGTAAAGTCTATATTGTTGATATCCTACTTGTAATTCGTCTTGAAGAAATATGCCTCCACTTCCTACTTGAGAAGACTCCTCTGACATTTCTCCCACTATTTCTGACGTAGCGTGCATCCTGTTGTTGTAAGCCTGCAGCCACCAGTTATCTAGCTCCAGCGCCCAGAGCCTGTTTCCTCTACCGAATGAGTGCAAGAGTACGCATCCTGCCAGGAAAGCCTGTCATTCACTCATGCATCATTGTCTTACAGTTTTCATCTGTCAGGGTGTTCAGGATACTTGGCTGCAAGTGTGTGAAGGTTTCCAGGACACCAGGTGTGACTTAAGTAGGTTATCTAAGCTAAAAACAAACAAAGTGTACTTACTGAAAGAAAACAGAGTTTCACTTGTGTTTCAGTGCAGATTGATTTAACTGTAAGTCATTTGGTACGGAGTATCAATATCTGTGCATTTTGGCCAAGGGAAAGATGCTAAAGTTTACTTTGAATAAATAGATTTTATAATACACAATTGTATCATACATTGTGCCTGTATGAGCTGACTCAACCGGGGGAATTGCGCCATCTTGTGGAAGGAGACAGAATCAGTACTGAAATAAATAGTGCACAAAAATAATAAAAAGTACGGTACATGTACTGTAATTGGGGGTGAATTCAATTAGGAATGTATTGAAATATTTTGCTGAAAGATAAAAGAATACAAATCTTTAACTACAAACTTCCAGAAGTGAATAAACAGTGTCTTTTCCTAATGCATTTCTAACAGTGTTTTAACCATCAGAACCTCCAGCAAGGTTATGCAACAGCACGCCTTAACTGCTTGTTTTAGTGGCTTTCAGCATTTTGAAGAAAATTCTGCTAAAGCTGGACAGAAAGTGAAAGGGCTGTGCAGAATAAGTCTGGCAAACCCATAAAAGGTTAGAGGGTCAACACTGAGAGGTATAAGCTTAGAGTCCATTAGTGGATTATAACCATAAACACTCTCCAACAGGTCTCCTGCATCTCTCTTGGATTAAAGCGAGAGAGACAGAGTGAGAGAGATAGGCTGAGAGAATGAGAGTGCATAGAGAGTGATTGAATTGAGCAAATTCAAAGCTGAACACAGGACTCGGGGCACGTACTTGGAGAAATAAACGCTTGGCGACAACCTGAAGCAAAGTCGGAGCGGTGATTTGGTTTGTCATATTTAAGGTATACAGTTTATCACCTGACTACTATACTGAACTGTGCGAGGTAAGTTCAGCGAAGCACGGTAATCTATCTGCAGATTTTATGTGTGTGTGTAGTGTTGATGTCAGTGCCTGCTATATAAAAGATACAGATTCACTTTAACTGCTAAGGAATCCTTCATCAGTGATCAGTTATGTGGTAGCTGTGAAGATGAAGTGAAAGGATGAGCAGCTGTCATTTCATTTCATATTTAGTGGGTTTTATTTTATATTCTGGATGAACAACAGACCGAATGTGTGCTATTCTATTGTGTATTTATGGTTTCTTTCTGTTTGACAATACATAACCTCTGCCATGACCATCGTCATTGTTGTGTAACTTTCATTTTGTTCTGCCCTAAATTGTCTGTGGGTGTGTGTGTGCGTGCTTGTGTGTGTGTTTAGGAAGCATGAATGTGGACATCGAGGGGATAATCCAGTGCATCAAGCAGGGAGATGAGAATGGTGTTCAGATAAGGCTGCAGGAGTTCAACAAAGAGGTGACGCGACACAGAAGCTTGTGTATTTCTCACAAGTTCTAATGCTGCTCATGACACTGTTTTTCTGTTTTTGTGTGTGTGTGTCATTATTTCTCTTCCTGTAGTATGCCCAGTGTTTCTTCTTTGACACAGAGGAGAGGGAAAGACGGAGAGTAAGTCTGTTTATGTTGCTGCACCAGAAGGAAAGTTTACAGGCATAAACCCACGTCCTCCTGGTGCTCCTTATAACGTCACCTTATTCCCTCTCACGGCACACCTCCGACTTATCCGCCCCTCCCCACCCCTACACACTCCAATCTATGATTAGTAATTCTGCTGTATCAGTTGTCTCTGATCCTCTCTCCTTGCCTGCTCAGGCAGATTGAATCCAGACAGAGTGACTGAATAATTGTCTGGGTTAGAAAAAACTTCTAATTACCTTCAAATTAATAAATATGTTATGATATCCTTCACTGTCCCCTGTTAATTGATTGTCATTCCCAGCAAAGATAACCTTTCTTTTGGGTTAGGAATGACCTCATCCCATCAGTAAATTGCTCCTAAGCTTTGTAAATAGGTTTTTAGGGAAAATGCCATACTGTGAACTTGTAGAAGGACTTCTAACAGCACTATTTCCTCTCTCTTCTGCTACATTTCCTGTCTAATGGATGACCATCTCTTAAGCAAAGGCGACTAGAAGAGGTAGGGTTTTGCCACAGTTTAGAAGTAATTAAGCACTGCACATGAAAAGTACCGTAAAGAAATCCAGTAATCCTTGTTGCACTGTTTTACTAGTTCAGGAAGAATAAAGTGAGGGACTACACTGATTCTGACTCGGACTTGGACGAGTACGACCTGGAGGATCGAGGACTCATCCTCAGACAGGTGATCCGATGCTGTCACTCTCTGCTTGCCCAGATGTGATATTCTTAGTCCTTGTAAAAGTTATTATTATGATAAATTCCTGCAAACATGTTTCTGCTCCTGTTCTCAGAATTTAGGTGTTGTCCTTGTGAGGTTCATAAGGACGCAAGTCAAATGTCACCTGTTGAGAGTATGCCTACGCACTCTGAGGATCCTGTCCCGGGACCAAAAGGTCTTGGGGCCTTTGGTGACCGACAGCGCCCTCCTGACTCTGGCCAAACTAGCCGGGCTGACCACAAGTGACATCAGTGATGAAGTCAGCGACCCCGACTCTGATTTCTACGATAACATCATTGCCTCTCTCACCGAAACCAAAGTGCTGCAGGGTCACACTAATGAGGATGAAGCTGAAGCTGAAACTAACAACCAAAACGAGGAGCCGCCGGCCTTCGACGAGGATGCCAAAAGCGACATCAGCATCACCAACAGCGGCGATTTGGACAGCATCAGCTGGTTTGGGAGCCACAGGACGAGCATCAACGAACTGCACAGAGGTGGGACGCATCACAGGGTCCTGGAGCGAGGGCGGAGGGACCGCAGAGAGAGTAAGATGGATGTGGAGGAGGAGGTGGAGGAGTTGGAGTCCGGAGAGGAGGCAAAGAGAAAAGAGGCCATGAAGGTGTTGTGTAACGTGGTGTACAACAGCGCCTGGGCACAGGAAAGGTTCAGTGCTCTCAGGTAGGCTCGGCATGCACACACAATCGCATCAGTTCCCATAAACTGTGTAATTTTCAGCAGCTTATAATAATCGCAAAGCACCTAAAAAACATATATTCGCTTATTTATACCTGTGAAAGCAACAATTCTCATGCCTGGTAAAGGTTATTATGACAAATAGAAGGACAGGGGACTGAAACAGTGCTATCCCGAGGACAGTGTCATTCTCACTTGCAATAAGCTGCATTTGGCTTCATCTGGAAAGTTCACATCTATCTCCTTTGTTTCCATCAGGCTCATGTGTGGCCTCATAGAGCGCGTATCATCCAGTGTCAGCTGGTCGAATCCCTCTAGTGCTCAGTTTTATGAACTGCGCTTTATGTTCCTCATGACTGCACTCCGGCCAGAGCTCAGCACCCAGCTTAAACAGGTCGCACGATGTCATATAGTCCAAAGTTATTCCTGTTTTACTCCTCATTACTGCCCTCACACTGATTATTCTCTTCCAGGAGGGAGGGGTTTCCATCCTCACAGCAGCCTTGGAGAGCTGCCTGGAGGTGCAGTGGAAGGACCAGTATGAGTGTGTCTTGGACCCACAGACACAGCCCATCTCTCTGGAAACCTCTCAGCGCGTCACAGAGATCCTCAAAATTCTCTTCAATATCACGCACAGCACCCACAAGCAGGACCCAAGTGAGGTGTGTGTAAAGGCCCTCGCATTTTTCAGAAGCTTTGCTTTCGTGTTTACTTTTTACAGGAGTTTTAATACAACATATATGTTATCAGTCAAATATGCAATCATATAAAAGCTAAATGTGCGAAAGAACAGGACAGTTGAAGAGGCATTAGCTGCGTCTGTGCCTTTAATCAGGATGATGCGGCTCTGTACCGACACCTGGTGGCGATCCTGCGCCTCTGTCTGCTGAGGAAGTGTCTCCTGTCAGAAGACACAGATGAACTGCAGGGGTGAGCACAACGTGACAAAACCCAAGCTGTGAAAATATTCAGGCTTGATAATCTCATAATTTACTATCGTGCAATTGTAACACATACTGTGCAGTTATAATTGATTTAAACGATGGACTATAAAATTAGATATAAACCTTCAGAAATTCATTAGGGGTTGCAAAATCACTTTCATGCAGAAGCACTATTTTTAATAACATTTGAAGCAACAAGGATGAGTCTATAATTATGAGTTTAATAACATGCACCCTCCTCTTGCTTGCTTATTTGAGACTTCCAGATAGATTGAACGTTCAGCTGCAGGTCTGATTAAAATCCCAAGTATATATAGAAATCAATGCCTTTTTATTAGGTCTAGATATCATTCCAATAATAGTGTATTTTGAGTAGCATTTGTTATCATTTTGGATGAAACAGTGTATAATCCATCCAGCCAAACAACACCAAATGTTTAAAGGGGGATCTGCTCTGATCATTTTCAGCTCCTTTTTATTTTCAGGCTGTATTGGAGTAGCTTTGCATGGTTCAAAATAACCCTTATTTATTACAGGGATTACTTGCACATACACTGACCTCCAGTCTAACAGTATATGTCTAAAAAAAACAAGGAAAAGCAGAGCAGGGAATAGGTTTTCCCCGCTCTCTTCTATCAACACTCACTCCTTTGCCGTGACCTTCTCTCACTCCCGCAGTCACACAGTGAACCTGTTGTCAGCGCTTCCTCTGCAGTGTCTCGATGTGTTGCTGACGGTGCCTCTGGAGCCAGATTCAGAGCAGTGCAAGGGGGTCAACATGGACTGCATCCACACCCTGCTGATGTTCATGGAGAGACGCCTGGAGGCGGTGAGGGAGTAGAAAAGAGTTCTGTTTGTAGAGTCATTTCTGATCCATTTGTGTGTTTGTGAGGGGGGTTTTTTTTCTCAGTGATTTGTTCTTAAAGTTTATATTTTGCAGCGTGAAAAAGGGAGCAGCTGGTATTACAGAAATAACGGAGAGGATTTGTTTTATGTGCTTTTCAGGGAGATAAGATCAAAGAGAAGCTGACACCAATCCTCAATCTGCTGACGGAGAGCTGCAGGGCTCACAGAGAAACACGGCACTACATCAGAAAATATGTAATATACGACACCTCAGAGATAGCTCCTGTGTTTAGCTTTTTGATGTTTTGATGCCAAAATATTTGTAGCACGTTTAATGTCCAGTATGCTTTTGATCATTTGCATGTAACCAACCAACACCTGACCTGTGCAGGCCTGGACTCTATAAGACTGAAGACTATAAGATACTTGTAGTATTCATAGTACTGTGCAAAGTCTTGAGACACCCCTCGCTTCTATATATATTGCTGGAAAAAAAACTGCAAATACAGTATAAACAGAGTTAGTACAATTCTATGACCACTTTTATCCTTCAACACAGCCTGAACTCTCTTAGGTAGCTTTCTTGTAATTTCTTACAGTAGTATTCAGGGTTAGTTCTCTAAAAAAAAGTTCTTCTTTGGATGTTGGCTGTCTTTTGTTTTGTTCTATGTAAAGATGATACGACACTGCCTCAGTAACATTGAGGTCCGGGCTCTGGGGAGGCCAATCCATGTACTGGCAGTGTGTTTGGGATCGTTGTCATGGTGAAAAATGAAGCTATTGCCAATCAGGTGTTTTGCAGATTGCATTGTATGGTGAATGAAAATCTGATGGCACTTGCCTGATTTATAATTTCATCACTTTTGATAGGATCCCCCAACACCACTGACTGAAAAGCAACCCAAAACCATGAACTGGCCTCCCAGTTTTGAAGATGCATGTTAACACTGACTGTTGCACATCGCTCCTGACCTCCTCGTACATACTGAGGACAATTTGAACCAGACAAGTTTACAACTTCCTCTTCTGTTCTCCATTTGTCCAGTTTCCTTGAATGCACACCATGCTGAGATGTGCCACGTTTTTGGATAACTGTCTTTGAGAATCACCATGTTGGTGCAAAATACTATTTTATGCCGGTCCAGCTGTGTTACCTTTGGGATTTTTATAGATACAAAAGAAAGTAGCACCAATTGTATGTTTTGGTGACAGGTTGCTAAAGATCCAGTTTAAACTGGTTCATCCTATGAGTTAGATCCCTTTTTTTATGCTTCAGTAATTCATTGTTCAGTGTTAAGTGGCTTAATGAGCACAATGCATGTTTCTCTGTAATGGTCAGGTACAAGGGTGGAGCTAAAAGTGAGTGAAAAAACAGCCAATGTTTAAAGAAAAACTAAAAAGACATTTTTTTTTTAAAAAAAAGCGGTTGCTGAAGACTTTAGCACAAAGACAGCAGATCCTTTAATTCCGGGAAGATGTGCGTTGGCAGACTTGTTCCAGCTCATCCCTAAACACCCTTCTCCTCCCTCCAACACACTGACTATGAGAAAGGATTTTTCATTATATATTTGATTTGTCTCAGACTTTGAAATCCATCATTGTTTTGAGGTTAACGGCACATTTTGCTTCATTTGCAAGCATCAGAATGGTCTCGCTCATATTTATTTAAAAAAGAAGAAGAAACAAAACACATTGAAGAAAATTAAAGCTATAATGTGTCGCCATCATTAGATCCTGCCTCCTCTGAGAAACGTATCACAGAGGCCAGAGGAAGGCACCACAGTGAAGAGCCGTCTGATTCGTCTTATGACTCATCTGGACACAGACCTCAAACACTGTGCCGCTGACCTCATCTTTGTCCTCTGCAAGGAAAATGGTAAGAAGAAGCAATATGTGGATTAATAAAAATAGGGTGAAGTTACAGTCTGGTCATAAAAATAGAAAAATGCATATTGAAATGATCAGATGGTATTTAAACAACGGGCGTCATTAGTTTTTATTGTGCTTTAAAAAAAACTCTTATTACCTTTTAGATATTTGTGTTTATGTCTTTATTATTATTTTATGTAGTCTTGATAGTCATGTTTGTTTTGATTATATACATTATTTTAAATCTAATCTGTGAATGCAGTGGTGCTGAAATGTTTTGTAGCTCTTTCTGTATTTTTTCTTTCGTGCCTTATTGAGAACACCAACGCTTCTTTTCCTAGTGAGCCGTTTTGTGAAGTATACGGGTTACGGTAACGCAGCAGGTCTGCTGGCCACCAGGGGGCTCCTGGGAGGCCAGGGGCCCAGGACCTCTGATACCCAGTACTCCAGCGACTCTGATTCAGACACCGAGGAGTACCGGCAGGTCAAAGACCGCATCAACCCAGTGACGGGGCGGGTGGAGGCAGAGCAGCCAGACCCTATGGAGGGCATGACAGAGGAGGAGAAGGAGGAGGAGGCCAAGAGGCTGATCATGCTCTTCAACAAGCTGTCCAGGTAAGCAAAACGTCAAAAAGCTACAAACATGAGAGATACACAAAAGTCTCAGATACTTCTAATGAATACAGTAAACGTCAACTGATTCCCACCACACCACAGCAAAAGTTTACAGAATTTAATTTATTAAGGTACAAATACAGAGTTGCAATAAAAGTGTCGAGCAGACTGTACATGTGTATATAACCAAAAGCTAATTCCAGCGCATAATCTGCAGCGTCTCAATGTGTTGCTGCAGAGGAAGTTCTTTGATGAGCATTAATGGGTCAAGTAGTCATTAAAATTGTATACTGGTAAGAAACAGTAAGGTCTGTAAAACTCAAGTGTTCCTCTTGTTCTTGCATAATACAGCAGATTGATGGTAAATTAAACAGTTAGGCTGTTAAAGCTCATGCTGGTGATCAAATCACCTGCATCTCGTGTATTTTACAGAGACAACATCATCCAGCCGATGGGAGTGGATGAAGAGGGGAAGCTCGTCCCAATGTCAGGACTGAAGGAAAATCCTCTCTCTGAGGAGGCGAGGTCTGAGTCAGAGAATGACGGAGAAACAGAGGAAGGAGACAAGGACTGATTTCTGTTCATCAGTTTGTTCAGTTTATCGATATTACTTTGTAAACATTTCACTTGTACAGGTCATCAGTGGAAAAGATGTGTTGTGTCTCTATGGGTGGTGTGAAAAGACAGAGCGATGTAGTTCTCGACCAAACAGAGTCGTGCTGAGAGAGAATAAATTCAAGAAAGGATATTTAAAAAAAGAAAAACCTAGACAAAAAAACCAAAGGTAATTTCACACTTCTTCTTCTTTTGACTCAGACTGGCAGCGTAGAGCAGCAATACAGTTACGTGTGACATCGCAATGGTGAAAAGGCCATTTTGATCATGTAGTAGATTCAGCAGAGGAATGCTACCCATTAATGTTTCAATAAAGTTTTCAAAACAAATAATCTCCGGTATCGATCAGTGTGGTTATCTGCACAGCACGCTGATGTGTCGTAGCACATGACATCTGCTGAGGTGTATGTTCCTCATATTAAGCTAATAATGTCAAAAAAGCTCCAGATGCTCTGGCTACATCTGCACTGCTAAAATCAGCTTGTATATTTATTTTTATCTGTGGCTCTGTTGTATTCAAGGCACTAATGCCAATTTCACTTTGTTGTATTACACTTTAGCAGGGGGTTTGTTACCAGGTTGCACTTGTTCACCCCTTAACACATTAATTTCACAGCATTAGGCCGATTATTATAACAAATAAGTTCATGAGCAGGAAAACTTGCAGCTTATGGGTGGTGTTTCACTTTGACTGCCATTAAGACTCAGTTTAAAAGAGGAAAAGTGAAGCTTAAAAAGAGGAGGAGGGCACAAAATGTTAAATGAGTGAAAGTCATGTCTCTTTACCTGAGTGACATCAGCTCATTACTGTAAAAATGTGATCTTGATTTTCAGTAACAACCCTGATCATGTCCCTGTGACTTGTTTTAAAATCCTAAGATAGAAATCAGTGCACACTTAGTCTCCATACAGTATAAGTCAGACCGTTTGATCCCGGGTGAAGTACAAACCAACACAGTACCAGTGTCATTATTAAACATTATTCACAAACATAACTGAGATGTTTTAAGAAGCCAAGATTAAAAATCTCAAATTAGTAAAACAGCCACCGCTTCCAAATGTTCAGTACTCCATCATCTCCTCCAGGGACATCTGCAGCTCTACAGACTTCAGGGAAGAGGCGCCGTTTTCAACAGCCATGTTCTTGAGTAACTCCATCGAAGTCAGGCACACCTGAGCGGAGAAAATAAATAAGGAGCGGGAGTCAGGCGCGAGTGCAAAGGCGACGCGTTTGAGCTCGACGGTAGCAGTGAAATCAGAGAAAGGTCGAGCAATGAGACGCGTCAAGCTGGTTTCTTTGAGAAACTTTTTATATAAAGCTTTTGATTTCTCAGTGTGCCGTCCTGTGTGGAGGCTGAGGAGAAGGACGAAAAGAAAAAAAAGCTTTTACACCTGAAGGATCAGCTGTCAGCGCCGGTATTCAGGCTTTGTTCCCTTTGTGCTGTTAATCAATACTGAGGCAAAATTGCCTCTTCAAAAGTGCTGCTGAGTACGGCTCCCTCCTCGTGAGAGGGCAATTTTAGAGGTTGATCGCTCATGAAATTTAATACAAGTTTGTGCAGCAGAAAGGGGGAAAAAATCTCTGCCTATTTGAAATACTGCTTAGAGGTCTGTGAGAGCACAGCACTGTATGCATGTTTTAAATAATTTCAGAAAGTTTCCTCACCTCCACTGCGATGAGTTTTTTCTCCAAAGGCTTGCATTGTGGGTCAGGCCACTTTTCCCCAATACAGAAGAACAGGGAGCAGGGAGCGCACTCTTTAGCATTCCCCTCAATGAAGTCCTTTATTCCTAAGCAGACAGGAGACGATACATAAAAAACTGTACCTAAAGCCACTAAATTCACAAAAGCTCCAAGATAATTCCTCTTACCTACCTCGCACAAAGTCCGTGAACTTGTAAAGAACCTGAGGATGTTTAGAAATCTCTTGGGGTTGTCTGCTCTGGTCAAATTTGCAGAAGCTCCAGAAAGCTTTGCTTTCCCCCCGTCGCTGGCTGTAGACCACTTGGCCCGACACGCCAACCTCCAAGCCATCACCCAGCATGTCCAGAATCCGCTGGGTGAGGCTGGCTTGGTTTTGATCCACCATGGCTCCGGGACTTGGCAGGGAGACTATAGTGAGGCCTGACTCACGATCCAAAACTGTCCCATTGAGATCAGTACTGATGTGAATACAAGCATTTCTATATTTCAGTTATCGGAGAAAATCGCTGAGTTTAAAACAGTCGCATTTGCTAGAGGCTGTTTTGTGTTTTTTTAATCAAAGATATCAGCAATGAAAAATCCTGCAATATATAAACTATAATTAGTTATAAGTTAAACAGACCACGTTATATTCAGTATTGCTGTTTTCACTGCAGTTGTTGCACTGATGCTAAGTTGAAACACAGCAGTATGGTTACAGAAGTAAACAGTGCATAACGACAATAAAGATTGTTGAATCTTGAACTTTGAAGGCAAAAATTGCATACTGTGATTTTAGAGATTACATTTTCAGTCCTTATTCTAAGCTCTGTTCCCTCAAAATGCTTTGCCTGGTGAAGGGGAACTTGGCTGAATAAATAAATCATTACATTTAAAAAAATTACTGAGCTTTAGAGGTGGGAGGATTTCTTTTCTCTTTTTTTTAAAGGAAAGACAAAGTGGTACTCATGCCTTCATGCTAATGTAAACTCCTGATCTCAGATAGAAAAAACAGTAGCATCTCCCTCAGTTTGTCCCTCTAGGAACGAGAATAAGGAAGCAAGTTTTACAGTATATTTGAACTGGAACTGCTGAGCATTTGTCGCGTTCATTTTGATGTTACCTGTAGACCAAGCGCACTCCAGCCTCATTCTCAACCATCTGCTCCAAAACCTTCACCCCTCTGTAGTACACAGATATCTTGAATTGAGTCCCTGTGGATTCAGAGACAGTGGAAGTGTATGAGGAAAGGTGCTTACAGTTCCACTCTGTCCCTGCTATTCACATTGTCAGGGCGCTTTGTATATAAGTCCCTGTTAAACACGTTCCATTTGAATACTGTGTGTGCTGGATGTCATTTCAGAGTGTCTGTGTAAAAATCCCCATTTGTCTGATACAGCAGCATAGCATCCCACCCCCACCCACCCCCTTCTCCAACTTACTGAAATTATCTCCATTGCTGGTCTTTTGCATTGTCTGTAGGAACTGTGCCGCCAACTGCTCATCATAGGCCCCTCCCTCAGCTCCCCCAATTGGATGTGCTGGTTGCTCAGGCAACCCAGCTTCAGTAACTGCACCCTCATACATTACTGGATACTGCTGTTGCCCAGGCAACGAGTGTCCACCAATCGCAACCTGATTCTGCAGCTGCTGTTGCTCGGGAGGAGGCTCAAAGCCTGCGGTGCCCTCTGTGGAAAAGTTGGAGAAACTGAACCAGCTTGTAGAAAAGTACCTCAGATACTCTTTGTTTTCTGCTCTGACTGCAGCAGCGAGGAGGAAAATGATAAGCAGAGCTGATAAGCCTACCTGCTTCAGGGCTGATGTTCATTCCTCTGAGACACTCCTGGAGAATATCGGGGCTGGCAGCAGATTCTGCTGGCAGATATGGACCAGACACATTCAGATGGCGATTGTCGCTAATAAGCGCCAGACTAATGTTCCCCTTCTAAATCCAATGAAAAAGGCAATTGCTCTCACCCAAAAACACAGCGCCTTCTGGAAGTAAGAGACATCCTTCTAAACACTGGATGTCCTGGGTCTGGGATAACACCGACACACATCTTATTCACTTACATCAATACCCAGCATTTCAGCAATACCTCTTTTTTGTTGCCATCTGTCCTCTTACAGGTAAACAATCCAACAGAGCAGTCTCACCTCTTGAATGGAAATGCCCAGATCTGCAAACAAATCAGCCCCATCTTGCTCCTGGGATCCAGCACAAGAGTTAGCTTCAGGAGTGAAAACATGCATTTTTTTTTATTTTCTGAGAAACATGTCTAGTTAGAGATACAGAGACATGAGTGTATGCAAAATGTGCTGCACGGACAGACAGGAACTGAGCATGCGGTGCAAAACTGCATTATCAGATTTAAATTGCAAATGCAATATGAAGTTGATTGATTGCAGTTATAAAATGAGTAAAAAGCAGAACATCCTGCTGATCTTTTTTTTCTGTGCATTTTGAGTGCCAAACAGCAGAGTTTTTTGAAATAAGCAAACAATTTCTTTGAATTGAATTTGCTTTCTATCCACTGTAGTTAAGATCCAAATGGTCAGCGGGTCCTCACCTTTTGACGTTGACTCGTCCGGCCACTGAAAGACTTTATGGGGGTTAGCGGCATCATTCTTGTTGTCATCCACCATTTTGAAGCCTTTAGCTCGTAGGGCGCTGCGGAAGTTCCTCTTCCAGACTGAGGGGTCTCCATTAGCCCGGCCGCTGCCGCTCACCTCCGCCCAGGCCTGCGGGGCAAAACCAGGATGAAAGCCGGAAGAAACTCCTGATGTGAACAGACTAAAGACTAACAAAGAACGGATTAGTGGACAAAGAATGAGATAAGCAGAAGATGGACGGATAGCTGATATCAAATTCATGCTCATGACTGGTTTCTATTAGATTGTCATGTCATGTCAGCCCTTGATGGCTACCTTAAAGATGAGAATGTCAGTGTTAGAGGAGTCCTGTCTCAAAGCGTGTTTCCACGGGATGCAGAACTTTGTTTGCTCTGGGTTTGTCCACTGGACACCAGGATACTTGTTGCTGTTAATCTGTTCCTGCAGCCACGGGATGAGCAGTGGTTTCGAATGAGCCATTTCTACAATAAGACAAAATATAACGTGCATCACTGCCTGACGTACAGCTTACTGATCCTGTACTCTTTTGCTATCATACAAACAATCACTTGGATGTGATGTAGGCTATTCCTTCATTCAGGCAGTTCATTAAAATAGCTCGTCTGTACTGGAGGTTAGAGCTATATAATTATTTATATACAGACAAATTTAATAGCCCACCAATCATAAAAAGAAGAAAACAAACAAAAAAATAATAATGAGGAAATCTCTCAAAAACTGACTCATATTTATTTAGTAAACAACAAACTGAATTCACGTTTTTATATCCAAATTTGAATCGGCACACTGGTCCTCTCTGAGAAGTCAGAAATTAATAAAGCATAAAAAACACAAGTCATTTTTCATTCAGGAATGAAAGTAAATAACTGTAATTTTGCATCTTAATCCAAAAATAATAATTTACTGTCCTACTTTTGCTGCTTTCTTTTGTAAAACAGTACATTTTAAAAATCATACATAAGAACAATTTATATTATTACAGTAAAAATATGATTTTGATTAAAGAGCGCAGAC